GCAGACCTCTCTTGACCCGCCCGCTGCTCCCCTCAGCAGTGTACTTCGTTGATCTGCCTGTTCTGTACCCCACTCTGTCTCTGGTGAATCCTCTCACCTTCCGCATCTCTGGCCTGTACCCCAGTTCTGTACGAATAAATAAATAAATCTTTTAAAAAAATTATGAAAGATTTAGGGCAGGCAGAGCCTTGTTATGACCATCAAGTGAATGCAAAGGGCCCTCACCTCTGCCCTGCTTTGTGACTATAAACCCTGGTGTTTTCCACTCTGGCCTGGCTATGGCCTGAGCCATCATTCTTCTGAAGGGCCCAAAGGGTTATTTAAAATTTTCAGCTTTATTTTACATGTATGCATAAAGGTAACGTTTGCTTTAATTCTAACAGGATGGTTCCATGGTAATTTTAAACTGAAAATCTAGCAGTCCTTCACCTCAAAATGCGTCTCTGGGCAAACCCGCAGAAAAGTCAACAAACCCTGTTGTAGGATCCCGCTAAATGCTTATTCTATAGCTAATTCTTATTAGTATTTGCATTATTACTACTGACTTCAAATTAAAATAAAATACTCACTTCATCAGCCACAAACTCCTTACTCAGACCAAAATCTGTCAGCACCACATGGCCATTAGAATCAAGTAGGATATTCTCAAGCTTAATGTCACGGTATATAATCCCCAACTGTAAAAACAAACAAATATGCATTTTAAAATAGCAATTTTGGAAAAAACAAATTAGGAAAGTCTTATCTACCTTAAAAACAAACCACAACAAGGCATTCTCCAGCTCAAGTCCTCGAAGGCTAGCGTGGACCCCGCCTCCCAGAGCAAAGGGGCTGTGCCCCCGGCCCGGCAGCCATGACCTGTTCTCTGCAGAAGGAGGGCCAAGCCTGTGGGGCCAGGTTCCGTGGGGTCCCTCACCCGCTAATGCTCCTTCGGTCTCTATGTGTTTTACTTAATTCCTCCTCACTCCAGAAGAGCTTCCAGTGCCGCCTCAATTTCATGCCCGGTGGTTGCAGGCTTTTCAGGTCGACCAATCCCACACGGGTCATTTCTTTGTTTTTATTCCTAAGCACCTATATTTACATTGCACTTATGTGAAAGAGCTGTTATTTCCCAGATATTTCCTGCTTGCTATGCCTCGCCAGACTGTCTTTCATCCTCATGCATTTCCCCAGTATCCAGCAAAACGAGTCAAATTGGTAATAAAGTCTTTTTGAATAGCACGTACATAAACATAAAGGTTGAAGATCATAGGTTAGTTTTAATTGCTCTGTAGTTCTAAATAAGTGAAGTAATTCAATTATATAATAGCTATAGACAACTTCATTTTGTTTTACATTTAAGTTTTGTGGCAAATCACTTGCGTTATTACTTCAACTCTGTAACATAAATAAATCTACCCAAGTCATACAAGTTCTTGATAAATGTGAATTCCATGTTTCACATTAGGTCTGCCTGAATGTCTTCAAACTACAAAACACTGCTCTCCTTTCGAGAATATGTGTATGAAAAAACAGATCTTAGTAATTTTTAAAATTGAACAACACTCAGCAGTATTCCTCCCAGAAATTCAGTTTTCCACAGGAAAGAGAGGAATGGCGACAAAGTCATACTGAGCAGCTACTTACTTGGCTAGAAGCATTATAAGTAAATAACCAGCAGCACTTAAAAGTAAATAAAAGCAACCATTTTGTTAAAGATTTTAGGCATAAATCATTTACTGTCTATACTTTAATTCATTACTTCCAAGTCAGCTTCCATTTTTGCTTCTTCCTGGGAAACTGTTAGTGGATTTGGTCAATACTGAAAGTCGGCCTTTGTTATATTTCACTGTACTTCTTTCTCAGGGCAGTAAGATTAAGAGAAGCTCCACTGAGCTCTGACTTGCTATACTTTCACTCTGCATCAATCCCATTAATATCCAACATCCATTGTGTTCTCCTGGGTCTGTACCCTGTTTCGATAATAATTCTTGTTCATGGATTTGACCTTAATAAGCAGAATTAAAAGCTGAATTTGATAGCTTGGCCATTGGAGCTTTATATGTTGTTTACTTTTACCCTGGATTTCATGGTGATTCCTATCATCATTTTAATATCATAAATGATTAAATCTACTAGCCCTAACCATAACACTTAACGGACTCTGCAGTTTATTCCTGGGTCCAAATGATGTCCTAGCTACTTTATATCCAGAAGACTAACCACAGCCACAAAGCTTGTCACCCACAGACAATCCTGCCAAAGGAGCAGGCATTGTTCTGCTCACAGTGGTCACGCTCTACCCACCTTCTCTCTGGCACGAGCCTCTCCCCAGCTTTAGACAGTTTTCAGTCACTCCTCTAACTGACCCATTCGGAGCCCCTGTTCTTGACCCCTTTCTTCTTCCATCTTCTCATCATCTTTCTTCATCATCTCTTTTACCCACTGCCCCCATTTCACAATTCCAAGCTCCCTGCTTCTTTAAAACTCTCACCCCCCTTCCTTGCCTTTGCCCTTAGTTTCTCTCCACTCTTGCCCAAGTTCCACAGGAGCACTGTAACCTGTTGAGCCGTAATGCAGTACAGGACGTGCCCACACAACAAAGAAGAGACAAGGAAGTTTTTAGTGATGAAGTTACAGCTGTCTGAGGCTATGGAGGAGGGAGGGAGAAGGAGCAAGAGAGGCCTGAGGTAGGCAAGCAAGTTTGGGGAGGGGAAGTAGGGGTGTTTCTTAGAGATCTCCTCCACCTCCTTCAGGGAATAGGCACCGTGAGAAATATTCAGGCAGATTCTAGAGTGAGTAAGTCACAGTGAAGGGAATATACATATAGTGACGTGGGTTTCAGCCCAACAGTTAAGAATGGAGAGCTTTTATTGTAATGATACTTAGGATTAAGCACTAGGACTCTTCTTGAACAAAACTGAAAGTGCTACCTTTTCAAATCTATTACATATCACCAGAGTCACAAAAGGCAAGCTGACTTATAAATGAGAACTATGAAACTGAGGACCTAACAGCCGGTGAGTTTGCTCTCCTCATCTCCACTAAGACAATGACATGTAAAAACATGAGCTTAAACTGTTTAGTTCTATTGCCACCTCAGTTACTAGATTTTTTTTCACAGTAGAAACCCCAAAGATGAAGCGTCTTACCTTGTGGAGGTGTTCGAGGGCAAGCACGATCTCTCCAACATAGATCTGCACCTCATGCTCTGTGAAACGCTCTCTTTGAGAAAGATGAGTAAAAAGTTCTCCACCATTTATATAATCTAAAAATGAAATATATGTTTCTTTCTTTGACTTGTATTCAAAAACTAAAGGGAGTATTACTTCCTTTCAATCATGTTAGATTAACCATAAGGCACTGGTATATTCTTTCTGGTACAATTTTTAGTAGATAGTATACAGTCACATATAAAATATGTCAGTAAATTCATAGAGTAATACAGTTTCATAAGATGTTTCGTAAGATATCCTAAATGGCTATCAAGTGAATCTGCATAGAGCATTGTCATTAAAACTATGACATGACGTCTGCATATGTTTACATACATTTTCTCAAATATAGTATATCAGAAACTGCTGAAATCACCATGCAATACTTAGCTTGCTGAGAGTGCCAAGACATCAGACACTACAATCACTATAATGAAAAAAATGAGTAAAGCAAAACACAAACAAAATTCCCAGTCTTCCTTTGTGATACTTGCAGTCACTATTTCTAAATAGATCACCTATATTCTAGAATTAGAAAATGTAATGTAGTCTTCCCCAAAAAGTTTATTAGGCAACAGGTATCCTTCTCACTGCTCCAATCCCCCCAAAGTAAAAGTAGCACATCGTGGGCCCTCGCTGGTGGCGCAGTGGATTAAAGCACAGCACTAAGAAGCTAAAGCCACTTCAGCATGAGTTCAATCCCCCCCAGGGAGCTGACCCACATGGCGCAGCAGACCTCTCCTGACGCGCCCACTGCTCCCCTCAGCAGTGGACTTTGTTGATCTCCCTATTCTGCTCCCCACTCTGTCTCTGGTGAATCTTCTCACTGCCCCCACACCTCTGGCCTGTACCCCAGTTCTGTATGCAGAAATAAATAAATCTTAAAAAAAAAAAAAGTAGCACAACGTAGCCAAATCAAAACAACTGACACAGGAAGATTCCCATTTCCTTTTCAATGCATCCTAGTTATCCCTGAGAGGGATAATGTAATAAAAATCAAAATGGTTGTGGTGAGAAATAAGTAGGGGAGATGAACGATAATAAAACAATTACGCTCATTATCAGCTCTAATAAGACACTTATTAATAAACCAGGAATGTCACTAGAAACTAACCATTCTACATTAATATACAACATCTGTGTAAGAGAGATGACGCATACCTAGCCACCAGTGTAGTTTAAAGCTTTTCTAAATACTTTAGGAAGTGTCTATCAAGTATATTCACTTGTCACATTTACTATAATTTAATAAAAGAACACAGCAAAATCTTCATGAACTCTCAAATTTTTGGTTTATATTGCCCGTTTAACTTTAAATCACCCCCCACCAACAATTCAGATGCCAATAGTTCACTGTTTTGTAATGTATTTTACAGAACACATGCCTGCAGAAAGCATACCCCTGCTGAGGATTCTGCATTTGCCTGGGGGTTTAAATTCTATCTCAACACAAACTAATTATTAAAAAGGTGTAAAGGAACACAGCATTCCTGCAAACTAACAATGAATTTTTTTCTACTTTAAGTAGTTATTAACTTAACCCTAAAACTGATGCTTATGCATAAATGGTTTTCAGTTTGTCATGATACAGAAATAGGCACCCATAGATTAGCTGACCAACTGAAAAACGCCTACACATTCTTGAATGTTCTGTTTTCTTTAATAATTAGCACAGCAGAGTCAACCACTCCCTTTTAAGTTAACCCACCATACATATTAAAGACTCCTACCATTGCAATTATCTTGCTGTACTGAAAACATCTGCATACTTGCCTTCTCTGCTAAACTATAAGTTTTTTAAAATTAGGATGAATGTATTTATCTGTAACACTCACCATAATGCTCCCTTGCAGTAGGTATATGCAATGTTGCTTATCATTAACTACAAAGCTGCTCAAGCAAGTACACAGCTCTCTTACTGGCACTGGGGTAAGAATAAACATTACAGAAAGACAGAGTAGTACATTTTGAAATGGCAAGCATCAATCTTCCAATCTCTTTCTTTGCAAAGTCGTTTTAGCTATGATAGGTTCTTTGATTTTTTCTGTTTGGATTTCAGAATTTTCCAATTTTTACAAAGAAAGAGACTGAGATTTGAGAGAGGCTGTACTGAATCTGGAGATCTTTTGGGGAGTATTGTCATTTAACAGCATTAAATATTTTAATTCATAAATATGGGAGCTTGCCATTTATGTGAGCATCCTTTCATTTCTTCAAAGATGTTTTCTAGTTTTCAAAGTTTTACACCCCTTTAGCTAAATTTTTTCCTAAGTCTTTCTTTTTGATCCTAATATAAATGGATCAAATTATTTTCTGATTTTTAAGTATAAGTGTCATTTACATATATATTTGACTTTTGGGGTACATTTTCACCTCCTTACTCACCCTCCACCAACCTATACTGCCAGTGTTTTATCCTTTTCATCACCCTGTCCTCTCCTTCCTTCCCCCATTCCTCTGGTAACCAGTATATTTTTCACATAATGCAAGAATTATTTTTTCAGTGTCTTGCCAGTATGTGTTATTTGGTTATTTATATTCCACAAATAAGTGAAACCATCTGGTATCCATCTTTCATTTTTTGACTTACTTCGCTTAGAATAATCATCTCAAGATTCACTTATTTTGTTTCAAAAGCTACTAATTCATCTTTTTAACAGCTAAGTAGTATTCCTTTGAGTACCCATTCTGTAATTTCTTTTTTTTTTTTTTAAAGATTTATTTATTTATGCATATAGAGTTGGGGTACAGGCCAGAGATGCAGAGGGTGAGAGGATTCACCAGAGACAGAGCAGGGAGCAGAACAGGCAGATCGACGAAGTACACTGCTGAGGGGAGCAGCGGGCGGGTCAGGAGAGGTCTGCCACGCCATGTGGATCTCCTCCAGGGCAGGCGGGAATCGAACTCATGAGGAACTGGTTTCAGCTTCTTTGTGCAGTGCTTTAACCCGCTGCGCCACCAGGGAGGGCCCCATTCTGTAATTTCTTTATCCAGTTATCTGTCGTTGGGCCCTTACGTTGGTTCCATGACTTGGCTACTGTGGATAATGGTGCTAAGAACGATGGGTGCATATAAATCTTTTCTTATTAGAGTTTTCATAGTCTTTGTGTGAATACCTAGCAGTGGTACTACGGGATCTTATGTTCCTTTTTAAATCTGTGCAATCAGTGATGCCCTTCTTCCATTCCTGATTTCATTTATTTGAGTCTTCTCTGTTAATCTTGGCCAGAGAATGACATACTAACAACACTGAGTTTTATAACCCATGACTATAATATATCTCTTTATTAGTTTTAATTTCTCCTAGCACTGGATCCTAATTTATAGTGTAGTTAGCTACATAAAAATGTATAGAATTTTGTTTTTTTAAAATTTGTACTATGAAGGATATTATAGCATATTATTTTCTAGTTGTATGATATTAGTATATAGAAATACAATTGCTTTACTTCTATTTTGAAAAAACTACACACTTACAGAAAAGTTGCAATCACAGCACCCAGGGCTTTTTAGGTGAACCCTCTAAGCTGTCAATCTGCCACCCAACTTACATGTGGAAGCTGGTATGTGTACTTTACCCCACAACATCATAATTTTTACAAGTCAGGAAATAAACATAAATATATCTACCTCTCGTCCTCAAACCTAAGTTAGTGCTTCCCTAGTATCTTCAGCAAAAGGTTGTACTTGAGAACAAATGCTACTTTCAGTAACTATTTTCCAGAATCTGTAAGTTGCTCGTTTTAAGGCTCCAGGCTTGGTACCGTGTGGATTGTCCCCCGTGAGACCCCCTGAAGCACTTCTGTGCCCAAGTCCAGGCACTCATCTCGGGAGGGAAACTGTGAAGAGACACTGTTCTCAGTGCGTCCTCTCGGAGGAAGGGCGCTTACTGCCGCCTGTCACCAGGCATCTTACTTTGGCTGATGATTAAGTTAGAATCTCCTGGATAGGAGGGAAGCTGTGCCTGCAAGTAGTGAAAGCGGTAAGTGGCAGTTACCATCGCCATCCTGAATTCCACCGCCTGCGACGAGGTGCAAGAGCGCCCCCTGGAGACAGGACTCTTGTGCCCAGTCTTAGAGCATTAGGAGGAGCCGTGAAGCATCCGAAGCTGCTTCATTTAAAACATGTACATCCTTTTTCAAGTTTAAGTCAGCACACATGCGTTCTTCTGAAAAGAGAGGGCCTGCAACTTTTATCAGATTCTCCAAGGAGTTTTAGGTAAAAAAAAAAAATCATCCCAAGGAACATCATTCTAATGTAGCACTGTGATTTTGAGTGAAAACATTCCTATGAAGTTTCTTTCTAAACAAGCCAGCTTATTTGCAGTGTCATCTGCAAACATCTGAGGGGGTCCTGCAGCTGTTCCTGAGAGCCGGCCCCCACACAGGGCTCCCGCTCAGCACCCAGCACCTGGCTCTCCTGAGCGCTGGCTCCCCTCCCGGCCGCTGAGCTCCTTGGCCTGCATCCTGGAGCTTATTTGTCTTTAGAACGGGACTGGTGGTGCTTAAAGCTTTAGAGTGAAATGGAGCAAGGGGGATTCATTTTCAACAAGCCCTCTGACTACTAAGGATTGTGTCTCTGGTGTCTTTACACCTCCGTGTTTACCCGGAGATGAAGCAACTCTGTGAGGGAAGGTTAGGACTTGACCGTGAAACCATGAAACTCAAAACGACTTAGCCAGGCAGTAAAACAACAAAACCCCGCGGTATTTGAAAAAGACCATCAGGGTTATTATTAAATTTTACTTGAATTAGATAATTTGTATTTTCTTTAAAAAGAACACCGAGAGCCGGCAGACCCCAGGGCAGTCAGCCACGGCATCAGCTAAAGCCCAGGTCACAGCTAAGCCCAGGTCCTCACTGACTCCTGGAGGAAACGACTTCTCAGCTTTGTCACTCAAGGAGTCCCCACCACCCTACCTCCCTACATCCTGCTCCTGTACAAGTGGGCAGAAACCACATTTTTAATTAAAACAGACTAATTAAAAAGCTCAGGTGGGCCGTCCCTGGTGGCGCAGCGGGTTAAAGCACTGCACTAAAAAGCTAAAGCCACT